AGTTAGCCCATGCTGGACAGAACAGTAGCAAATGTTCCCCCCACCGGAATGCTGTCTGAGTCATGCCTTGTTAGGCTTACTGTCTAGTTCTGGCCTGTGGGCTCTACTTGGTGTCTGTCTTTTAAATCTAGGGGTGTTGAATCCCCTTCTGAAGCTCTGCCTGGATCTGTCTGGATCTGGAGAAGGTGTGTTGAGAACTAAAGGACTGGGGGCTGAATCCCCCTCCTATTGGAGCAACACAATGTCTCTGGCATCACCTTCTTTTTTCTTTCGTCTCAACTAAGAACTTTTCCAGAGTCTCTCCAAATAGTTTCCCCCCCTGGAAGGGGTAGGCTGAGACAATGTTTTTAGACTGCAGGTCTGCTAGCCAGGCCTGCAATCAGATGTTCCTTTTGGCTACCACTGCTGATGACACTGCCCTCAAGGAGAAAGTCAGAGCATGCAGGGTGGCATCTGCTGTGAAGGAACTGATCTTCAGAATCCCGTTGGCACCCTCTAATAGTATTTTGTCATTATCTGGGAGGAGCTAAATAAGCTTTCTTATCTACACGATGGCAGCCCTGGATATGATGGAAGCAGAGGTGGAGGCTTTGATTGCCATAGTGGTAGCCTCATGTGTCCTCCTTCAGTGCGGTGTCATTTTTCTTGTCCAGGTTATCTCAGACCGATTCCTGGACAACCTCTGACAACAGGCCGGAAGACTGGAGTGCATCCACTGGGATGTTCACCAGAGGGACCAGTAACATCTCATTGGCAAAGGAAGGTAAATCATTCAGTTTCTTGACAAAATTTGGGAACTGGTGGTTCAAAGTGGGTTTGGCCCATTCTGCCTTAAGCTGCCTTTCGAAGAACTCTGGGAAGGGGAAAACCTTAGATTTGTTTTTTGGGCTGGTCCCTGGGCTAGAAACATCCTCCACAGTGGGTACATCCTGTAGCTCTGGGGCTGACGGGGTTTTGGACAGCAGGTATTGGTAGTCTTCTGCTTTAAATAGGTTACTGGATAGTTCTGGGCCACTAATTTCTTCCACCTTTTCAAAAGAGAGAAATTCTCCCTCCTCCTTGTCCACTGTCTCACTTTTTGAATGCTGATCCCCCTCCTAGTAAGTATCTCCGTGTTTACTACTCACAGGGAGCTGTTTTTGTGCTGCCTTGGTTGGCCACTTATTGTCCCTGGCATCTGACCTGGTTCCCTGCTGGGGGCTGGGGGGGAGGGGAAGTCTGAATGGACTGTAGTACAGCCTACTCCTTTGGAATGGAAGGAACTCTAAATCTCTTCTCTCATTGTTTGTCTGAGCACAGTCATAAACTCAGAGGAGAGGACCATGTTCCTGGTGCGGGGTACATTACCCGTCCCTTGAGGAGGGCTGGATGCTGAGTATGAGGCTTGCTCTGAAGGAGGAAGCCCTCTCTCAGAGTCTCCCACTGGGAAGTTGGCATTGGTCATCTGTGGCTTGGTCTGGGGGCTAGAAGCTTGCCTAGTGTCCCCACCAAAATTTGGTTCCCAAGATGGTTGCTGCTCCCAGCTGAAGAGCAGGGGCAAGTCTTCTGAGTCGGGAGCTGAATGATGGTGCTTTCCCCCACACTTTTGCAGCTCAACCTGATCCTGCTTCAGTGGGGAGGGTGGGGTATAAATCCAGATAAATAAATAAAACCACGAAGATGTCATCATCACCAATGGCAGCTTGAGCAAGCCAAGAGGTCATGGTGGCTCCAGAGCACTCTCCACCCAAGGCAGCTGCCTGGGTCTGATCTTCTGCCTCCTCTTCAAAAAGGAATCCATCCTGCTGCCCATGACCCATGGCAGTGTCTTCTCTTCGTGGCTATTTCCCTAGGCTGCTAATCAGCCGCCGCGAAACTGAGCCTCTGGAGGAGGGAGGGTAGGAAAAGGACTGGACAGGAAAGGGGGGGAGAGCAGATTTTAGTAGGTGGGTAGAATTAGATGGACAGAGGGCGAGGACAGGTGAGAGGAACTATGCAGTAGCTAAATACAAGGACAAAGATTAGTAGGTGAAGCCTGCTAGAGCTGCTCTCCCTGTTGAGGCAGGAATAAAACGGAGAGAAGGGTGGCCCCACGTCACAGAGGAAGAGTTTAACTTCCTGCCTCCCTGAGTAGATGGTGGGAACCACCCACAAGATGTCTTCCGCCTCAGGGGAGAAGGGACAGTTTCTAGTCCATATGGCATGCAAAGGCACTTTGACTGTGATCTGGGAAAGAATGCAGCAAAAACCCAGAAAAGGGACAATTAGGGGAAGCCATGTGGATGTTCCCAAAAAACATGCTCTAGTTTGGATTCCAAACAGGAGCAAAGCCTCTGTGTGTAAGCATCTGAAGTTGAAAACAAGTCACTAACACATACCACAATGACCCACTTTGTCCTCCAAAGACATGTCAAAACTCAAAGCAGAAGGATTCTGTGTTTTGCTAACCAGGCTTGCTTTTATGTTATCAGAGTAGAGCTAAAAATACAGGACTCCTGAAAACAGAAGCTTGTCAGCTACAGAGAGATTTGTAAATAAAAGGGAACAAACACTCAGAAACTTACATCTAGGGAAAATAGGCCAGCAATGTGTATAGGTGCAAGATAACACAGAGGTCACTGAGAGCTAAGTATGTATTTTCTGATTCCATGAAAATCACCACCACCACCACACACATACCAGTGCAGAATGAGGTAGTGGACACAACTCATCTTCCTGAGAATGGGGATTTCTAAATCTTTCCACTCCATAAATGGGAGGGCCTAGACCTACTAGCAGGTGACCTACTAGTAGCAGGTGACCTACTCTACATGGTGGATTACACTGCTCAACTTTTGTTTCTTAGGGTCACACAGTTCTGATATCATAGCTAGTTTCCCACGTGCGGCTCTATACACAAGGGGGGTCACCCATGGTATGGGATATTTTTCTGCAATCATGCACAAAAATATTAAAAGTTGCTAACTGAAATAATGAAATATTGCAATCAAAAATCTACTATTACAGACACCATTTTGTTAACATGGGATAGGTTACACTATAAAATATTCCACCAAACCTCTCTCAGCCTCAGCAGTAATAGAGTTTGTCCCTAAAGTAGATAGGTAGGTCTAGAATTCAAGTCAGCAATGGTGGCTGATTTAGACCATTACTGTGATTTAATAAATGATAACAGAATGTGGCCTTATGAAGTTATTTATTGTATGGCAACTTTATGAAGTAATATGTCAATATGGTAATGACAGCATCTCTCCATTTCAGTATCTTTAATGAGAAGCTTTATTGTACATTAGAGATAACTGGGGAGTGAAATAAATACATTTTAATTTTTCACAAAATAATGCTGCACTTTGTGACTCTTTTTATATTTTTCTACTACAAAAATTGTAACAAGTTCCCTAGATATATTAAAAACGGAGGAAATTCTTGGACTATGATATAATCCAAAGTGTTTCATCCTATCTATTATCACTTAGTTCTTCTTTCTCTGGCAGTAGGAAAGAGTAAGAGTCCTGTTACACCTTAAACACTAACAACATTTGTGGTGGGGTACGAGCTTTTGAGAGTCACTGCTCACTAAAGAAGCGAGCAGTGACTCACAAAAGTTCATACCCTACCACAAATTTTGTTAGTCTTTAAGGTACTACTGGACTCATAGTCTTTTCCACTGCTGCAGACACCTATGCTAACAAATGACAACAAAGTGAAATAAAAGGGGAGGGGATGAGGGTCACATCAATATGGAGACATTCTTGGCCTTATGAAATATATAGCAGTCACATAATAGGTGGCCAATTTACTTGTGTGCCAGTAAAAGTTACATAACTCATTATGTGCTTGAACAGTTTTCAAAGCCTCTGAATGAAACACAGTTAAACACTCGTTGCTCATAAAATATAAATATGTTCATATGCTTATAAATGGTCAGTGCTCAGCTCACCTCCTATATGTTGCGGATACCCAATATCTGCTGCAGACTAAAAAAAGATCTTGCAGGGCAAATTAGTAGTGAGTACAAGTATAAGCTAATGAAGGAGTAGATGAAAAGCACCACTCTGCCATGTTCAGCCTGTTCAGTGTGCCAGGGACTGCTTCAAATCACTTCTCCTGCTTTCACAATCCCATGAGCATTAAAGAAAAACAACTGGGAAACATATCACACTGATTTACCACAAATCAACCCTAACTCTTTCTTGTGCTTTTATTGTTCTAAGGAACATAGCAGGCCTTAAGACACCATCAATTCAAAAGGACATAACCATCAGGAAAGATGTTTAAGCCATGCTGTACTCACAAATAATTTTTCCTTTGTAATGCAGGTCCATTTGTGCATCACACAATGACAAAAAACCATCATTCACTGGTATTTTTCAAAATGAATCATGTTTCAACCTACACTGGACACAGCTTTCACACAAGGATACAACTCCCAGCAGAAGACATTAAAAGAGATGGAAAGGAACACATGAACCTCCCTTAACTGAGTCAAACTATTGATCTCATCAAGGTCAGGACTGTCTTCTGCAGGGGTGCCTCAACATGGTGCCCACCAATACCTTCCCTGGAGCCCACTCAGTGTTTTTAGAAAGTGCATAGGGCTTTTGCCCAGCAGTGCTTCTGATTAGCCACTGGAGATTTGATTAGATGTACAGGGGTTTTTTCAGTATTGCTTTGGCAGCAGTTGACACAACAGCACAAGGATCTTCACTGCGTTACTGAAAGTAAGCTGCAGCAGCCATTTTGTGACTGGCTCCACCTCCTGAGGCAGACATTTTGTGGCAGCCATTTTTTGGTTGAGCTCACCACACCGTCTGAATTCTAAAGGTGCCTGAGGCTCAAAAAGTTTGGGGACCCTGGTCTTCTGAGTGACAGCATTTCTCTAGGGTTTCACAGAGGTCTTCCATACCACCTACTACCAGATCCTCTGAAGCGGAGAGGCTGAGGACTGAGCATATGACCTTTTGTGATCAAGGCAAAACCACTGAGCCCCACCTCTCAGGGAACATCCACACAGAACTCACCTCCTGCTCTTGTTGAAAGATGACCACTCTGCCACCCTTGTCTCCAGTTGCTAGCAATTCTCCAGAATGATTAAATTCTACTGTAGAAATTATATCTGCTGTATAATAAAAGCAAAACATGTATGTTAATATTATTGTGTACATTTTTCATAAAAATCAAAACACTAGTCTTCACCCTACAATAAGCCACACCTCCACATTTGAAATTAATGTTCCTCAAAAGTAAGCTTTCTAGCTGCCACACCTTGGAAACACAAACTGTGAATTTAAAAGCAGCCACCAATATATTTTACAAACGAATCTGTCATTCCCCAAATTAACAAATCATTTCAGTGATTTGCACTTTGGGATAAGCCAATGCAAAGGTCACTTGCTACATGAAGTTCACTTAAAACTTCTCTGCATGGCAGACACATCAATAAAGCAAGCCATTCATTCAGAAGGAGAAAGAGCTCCCCCCCCCCTTGCAACAGCATGGGAGCAGTTTATGGCCTTGGTCAGAATAAAGCCTTAGTGGTATTGACTGCGATACCAAAACATCTGTTAGGACTGTCCTTAAGATTTTCAGTCCACAAAGACTGAATACATGGCAGTCTCTCAGCCTCATTTGTGGCAAACTCCTTAACATTTCCCAATTCCCCCTAGGTTCAATTTCCTTTGCTCAAAGAGAAGGAAATGTTCACAGTTAAAGAAGTTACTAGAAAAAGCAAACTTTATTGCTGAGAGTTTTGTCTGGTAAAATAATGTGATCTCAACTCTTCTATTTTAAAAAGGACCCTTGAAATAACATGGGGGGGGGGGAGGTCTCCCTCTCAGGTCAAATAGCAAAACATTATGTGGTGTCCAGACACTCAAATGCAGTTGGTTCATTTGAAGGGTTGTGACCCCAAGAATGCAGCAGCTTGGCACAACATTCCATCCCCAATCACTGAAGCAATTTCCTGGGAGGATTCCCAAAGCCAACTATTGTCATGGTGCTGGAATGAGTATCTCACCTTTTCAAGTCAGGACAAAAAGAAAATGGTCAAACAGAAAAAAAGTGGAAGCTTTTCCTAGCAAATACACCAGCATCCCAAGGGATAAGCCATCACACACTGAGAACCATGGAAGCAACTCCACATTTTATCCTCATCCTCCCCCCCCCCAAACCCAAAATTCTTAACATCAGTGGAACTGCAGGAATGGGGATAGGGATGAGAGGAAAGAACACATTCTGTTGCTCATTGCAATGGGCTGGTAGATGGCCTTAACTAGCATACCTCTTCCCTTACACACACCAAGAGAAGTGTAACTCAGACAGCCCACAGAGTAAAATTGAACAACAAACCTCAACATTTGTGTGTAAAGTGTTGTCAAGTCACAGCTGACTTATGACAAATCCATAGGGCTTTCAAATCAAGAGAGACGTTCAGAGGCAGTTTGCCACTGTCTGACTCAGCACAGCAACCTTGGTGGTCTCCTGTCCAAGTACTGACTAGTACCAACCTTGCTTCGCTTCCAAGGCATGACAAGATCAGGGCTTGCCTGGGCCCTCCCAAGTGAAAAAAGGCAGTTAGTTTTCCGCTAGAAGGATGACAGGCTCAAAGCTCTGTCCTCCTCTCTTAAGGCATACCAATCACAGAAATGTGGGAAATCTAAGGGTATTTTTTTGTGAACAGTGTATACGTTGTTCAAGCATTGCAGCAACTTTAAAAACTACCCATTTAAACCAAGGTATGAATGACATGTGGGATTCTGAAGTTTAGCCTAAACTATCTACAAAGGAAAGTAAAAACTCTCAGGGCTAGGTGGCCCATATCTCTGTCTACAACTTTGTTTTTGGCTTGAGACCTTCTCCTATTCACACTTCAATCTGTGTTTTCAAGTACTAGATAGCGGTTCTTTACCTGACCTGCCAGGAGACACCCTCTGCGCTATTAAGACTACTCTCCACCCACTGATATGCCTTGGATCTCTCCCCTATTGTGACTGGCCCAACACATGAAAGAGGTCACACCCTGGATTTAATCTTTTGTACTGAGGCTTTGAGGGAAGGTTTTGTTTGGGGGCTGGAGATTCATCCTGAACCATGGTCAGATCACTACCTACTTAAAGCCAAGGTGAATCCAGCGCCAACACCCCACATGAGAGGTGGTCCAGTTAAAATGGTCCGCCCATAAAGGCTCATGAATCCCAGTAGATCCCAGAATGCTTTGGGGGATTTTAGGATTCCAAACATGTGTTCTGTTGAGGCTGCCATGGCAATGTGGAATGTGAAGTTACTTGAAGCTATCAACAAGGTTTCCCCTTGTCGACTTCTCCCGCCCTGGGGACAAAACCCAGCCTCCTGGTTTATCATGAAACCTGGGTGATCTGAAAAGGGTTGGGAGACTTCTAGAATGGTGCTGGTAGAGAAATTGTACTGAATCTGACAGATCATGCTGTAGAGCTCAGTGCGAAGGCCACTACTTGTATTTTGGATCTTTGCCCATCCTGGCTGCTCATATCATGTAAGGACCACATCAACAAACCTGTATTATAATATCAGTCACTAACTCAAGGCACCTTCCCTTGGCCACTCAAAGAGGCAGTTATCCTTCCACTACTTAAAAAAACACATTCTTATAGAAAAATTATGTGTCTGATTATGGTCTCTAATCTACCCTTTCTGGGCAAAGATAGTGACAGAGCAGTAGCACCAACCCCAAGTCTTTGGATAACTCATCTGTTCTAGAGCATTTTCAATCTAGTTTCAGGCCAGGCTATGGGACAGAGGTGGTTCTGCTAGCTTAGTTGATGACCTCTATCAGAGTATAGACAAAGGCCAAGCCTATTACTCACCTGCAGCCTTTGATACAGTTTATCATCACATCTTGTTAAGGTGCCTGGAGGCAGAAGCAGGTATCAGGGGATGTGGTTCTGGTTCAAATCATTGCTCATGGATCAGACGCAAAGGGCTGCTACTGGAAACCAGCTATCATTAGTGTGGGACCTATCTTATGGGGTTCCACAGGGTGCAAGTCTGATCCCCCATGCTTTTTAATCTTAGGACAAATTATAGTGCTATATATGCTTATCCAAATCTCCTGGTGATGTGGCAGAGGTCCTGAATTGCTAACTGGCTGCTGCAGTTTAACTACCTAAAAGTGAACAAAATGAAATTAAACCCTGAAAGGGCAGAGGTAATGCTAGCTGGGAAGGCAGAGGTCTAGAAGGACATTGTTCTCCCCCCTTTTGATGGGAGTTCACCTCACCTTCTGGATACCACTTAAAGGTGCCACTGAACTCAAACTTTGTTTTGCCACCTCAGAGTTCACTCATGGCACTGCTTGCAAAAGGCATTAAAAGGGACTGAGTTCCTTTTAAATGCCTTTCCCCCTCCATTGGCAACAATGGAGAACGGGGGCACCTTCTTCTGGGGTTCATAAAATTGGACTCCCTGCTCCAATCTTTTAGAAACTTGGAGGGTTTTTTGAGATGAGGCACCAGAAGCTATGCTGCAAATTTGGTGCCTCTACCTAAAAAAAACCCAGCCCCCTCGAGCCCCAGATACCCCCAGTTTGATCTCCATTATACCCAATCTCAAATATTTTCTGAATCCCAATACCATATTGATATTGGGATTTGGAAAGATCGGGAAATGCTGATATTTTGGGGGTTCAATATACCTGAACCCCTAGCTGCCACCAATTAGCTGGACTAAGTTGGGGAGTAATGTTGGGGGGGGGGGGTAAGTCCCAACAATAATGAAGCCTTGCAAGCAGCCCAGCAGCCAAGGCACAGATTGCAAGAGGACACTGGGCGGGGAAGTGGACCCCTCCCAAAGGAGCAGTAGTGGTGGCCATGTTAAACCCGCACTAAGTTGCAGCCTCCAGCAGGCAGGAGATGAAAAAGTCAGGAAAGTCAAGACAGCCTCAGATGGGGCAAGCTTGGCCAGGCAGGAGCCAAGGGGGTGGGAGGGGCCTCGTGGGTGCCTCACTCTGATGGGATTTCAGGAGAGGGTCTGAACAGGGAAGGAGGGAGGGGCAGTTAAGAAGGGTCGGCAGGAGGAGTGGACTGGATGTGGGTGGCAGGAAGGGCTGAGCAACAGCTATTTAAATGGGGGAGGCTTCCTTAAGGCCGGGGAGGATATGAGCTAGAGGGCTCAGAGTTGGAGCCACCTAGACAGGACAAGAGAAGAACTGGGTGCATTTAAACCTTTCCTTGCTTTGTCTGAACCTTTGGAAGTCTCCTGAGGCGTAAGCAGGGCAACAGCAGATGGACAGAGGGTGGGGCCTTCTAGAGAGGAGCCTCACAGGGTACTCTCATCAAAGCTGTACATTTTGCAATGCGAATTTTGCACACAAACCTGCCACCAGCCCGTTCTCCTAACATTTAGAACTCCATTTCCACACCAAATGTCAACGGTTTTAAAATTTAAGATAAAAAGATAGGAAAGACTTTCTAACTCCTAGGCCCCTTTCTGTCACCTGCTCACGTGGACTCTTCCCAGCCCGGCTACAAATACAAAGCCTATTTGCAGGCCTGTTTAATACTCCTTTTGTCTGTCAGAGCTTGCACCCTCCTGCCACCCAAATGCACACAGATGAGGCTACAGCTCAGTAACCGAGCACCTAAATTGCATGCAGAAGGTAGGAGGTTCAATCCCCAGTACCGCCAGATTTTTTTAAAGGAGGAAATAGCCGCACTAGGAAAGGATTCTGCCTTTCCTGGGCTAAGTGACATCACGTGTTCAGCCATGAGGTGTCAGCAATAGCTACTCTCAAAAAATAGAGAAAATAAGGATAAGAGTATGAACTGATATGCCAAATTTAATAGAGGCATCCAGAAAACTAACAGTGACTCAAAGAGATGGGCTTCGCAACTCAATTTTAAAAAAGATTAACTTTAAAACAAGCTTGCATAGGGCTGCTGCAAACTGCTGGCAGACAGATAAAACTCTGCGCTTTTACAGTCCTGCCTGGAAATGCAACTGTATAACTGGCTGGGAAGCCCAGAGCTATACAACTGTCTGCATTGGAAGAACGGAGCCAATCTGGGTGGGGAGGAGGGAGAAAACAGCACTGTAGAACTGCTGCTTCACATCCCACTGTAAAGGGGCAGGAATTGGCTTTGGAAC